GATAGAGCCTCAAGCTGTCCCCCTGGGTAGAGTGCTGTGGCATCACAGCTCACAACAACCTCCAACTCCTGGGCTCAAGCAAGTCTTCTGCCTCTGCCTCCCAAGTAGCTGGGACTTGGCTATTTTTGGTTGCAGCCGTTATTGTTGTTTGGCGGGCCCGGGCTGGATTTGAACCCTCCACCTTAGGTGTATGTGGCTGGCGCCTTAGCCGCTTGAGCCATAGGCACCAAGCCAGAAGTTATATATCTATTAAAGCTATTGAATATGTTGCAAATATTTTGTCCCATTTTCTCATCTTCTTAGTTTATTATAGTAAAATACACACAGTATTTACCACCTTAACCATTTTTATGTTACGATTCAGTGGTATTAACTACCTTCATAATGATGTGCAACTCTCACCATGCTTCCTCTCCAGAACTCTAATCATTTTGAAGTGAAACTCTATATCCAATAAACAATGGCTTCTCCCTTCCTCCTGCCCCAGAGACCTTGGTAACTGCCATTATGCTTCCTGTTTCTGGAGTGTGGTTACTCTATTTACCTCGTAAAAATGAAATTATACAGTATTTGTCTTTTGTGACTGGGTTATGTCACTTAGCATAATGTCTTCCATGCATCCATGTTGAAACATGTTAGAATTTGCTTCTTCTGAAGGTTGAATAATATTCCATTGTATGAAGATATCATATTTCATTCATTTGTCAGTGAGACATTCAGGTCATTTAAACCTTTTGACTAGGCTTGGCGTCTGTAGCTCAGGTGGCTAAGGTGCCATCCATATAACGAATCCAGCCTGGGCCTGCCAAACAACAATGACAGCTACAACCAAAAAATGGCCCCAACCCACAATGGCGCTGTGGCGGGCACCTATAGTCCCAGCTACTTGGAAGGCTGAGGCAAGAAAATCGCTTGAGCCCAGGAGTTGGAGGTTGCTCTGAGCTGTGATGCCACGGTGCCCTAGGGCAACAGCTTGAGGCTCTGTCTAAAAAAATAAGTAAATAAATCTTTTGACTGTTGTGAATGATGTTGCTATGAATACTGGTGTACAAATACTGTGCATATTGTTTTATAAACTCCTTTTTTAACCCAATCATGCTTATGGAATATCCTTCTATCTCACTATGCCTCAATGACATAATTTTTAATGTCCATATTATGTCCGTATGCCATAATTTATTAACATTCTTTGGTTGGCTTTCTAACTTGTTCCCAAATTTTTATTGTTACAATATGAACAACTTTTTTTTTTTTTT